GTGATGCCTTTGGGGGAGCGGGTGTGGGGACTGAATATACGTTTGTTAGGAGTGGATATGCTGCGAGATAGATAGAGTGTACTTTCTCAGGGGGTGTGGACGTGAAATCTTTCAGTACTGTTGAGGCTACCAATGTCAGATCATTGCCGGCCGATGGTTGTGGAGGTTGGGTGGGGGACTACGCTCGTGGAAATATATAGAAGTTATTGGAACTTAAATATAGTGTGTTAGGTGATGAGGAGGGGTTGGAGGGGTTTTCTAGTCCTATGGAGGGAGCTTAGTGTGTGAAGACAGGGAGTGCGATGAACATTGTACATGGTGGGATAGTGTCGCAAATGAAAAGGATTAGAAAAGTTTATGTGAGAGAAGGAAAAACGTATTAATAATTTAAAATATGGACTGGCTAAACTATTTAGAGGGCTAGGTTAAGAGGGTTTCTCTGGGAGGGGCGGTGGGTGGGAATAAATTTCCTATGGATGAAATAGCTGAAATAAAGGGAGCTGTTGGGGATGTTGCAAACTGAAAGGTTTCATAGCGTAAGGAAGAGGCCAGGGGTGGAGGAAGTGCTTTGGGGCCGACAAGCCGTCAGCATGTGTTTTGCGGCAACAAAAGCAAAGGGCCAGGCGCTGAAGCTATACATGTTTAGACGGTAACGGAGCTGGTTGGGGAATTTATAGAAGTAGGGAAGGAGATACGAACCACGAAGGGGATGTGTGGATATGCAGAGGCTTGTACGAGAAGTTCTGGGAACAGTGGGGGGTGTGGGTGACGGGGCAATGGACTAGGTGGGTATGTATGTGACATGTAAATTAGGAAAATAGTGGATCGAAAAGCTTTTAGGTGGGCCGATTACGTCAGAGGAAATAGAGAGTTGCGTTAAGGGGAATGAGGATGGGAAAGCTCCCGGTATTGATGGCTCCCGGTAGAATTTTATTTACAACATTGGGCGTTGCTAAAGGAAGGATTTATAGTTAGGTTTATTTAATAGTATGAAGGAGAGTAAGGAGTTAAGTTGGGGGGAGAAGCAGGAAACTGCAGTTGTAGAGTGTTGGTCGAAGGTCAATAGGGGCAGCCCACCCTCGGGAAGGAAGAGAGAAGGACCGAGCAATATCATTATGTGTGCAGATATAAGGTGTTTGCAAAAAATTTTAGGTATAGGTCAATTGTGTAGTGGAGAGGGATTGGTGTCAAAATCTCAGTTCGGGTTGCCGGGGAAAAGGTCGTTGATTGAAGGCCATGGGATTTCTGAGAAGGTTTTGTTGGAAGATAAGGGTGGGGGTGGAGGGGCAGCTTTGGTGGCTCTAGACTGGCAGGGAGCATATGATAGAGTGGAAAGGGGAGCTTGCAGGTTATACTGTAGGAGACAGGGTTTTGGGGAGGAAATAGTCGAGTGTGTACATACGTTGTTACAAGGGGGCGAAAAATGAGGATACCGATTATGGGTGTAATGGGCAGATAATCTGGCGAAATTGCATTCAAAATGGGGGGAAGAGGCCTTAGACGGGGACGCCTTTTGTCCCCAAATTTTCTCGTTTGCATGTTTCCAGGACCCCTTTTATAGAATGGTTGACCGTTAGCTTATTGTACGCCATGCTGAGGGAAGTGTGGGGGGTGGGAGGGCCTGGCGGGGTTTTATTGGATATAGTTTGACACACCACTGTTTCTCATTCAGTAGCAGGGATGTCAATGGGAGTGTGGGAACGAGGCGGGTGGGGGGGTGGTTGCAAATTATTTGGAAGTGCCAGGGTATGCAGGTAAATAGTGCCGAAATACAAGGTGCATGGGTTGGGTTCTGGTGGGGGGGTGTGGGGGGGAGATATGTATGTTGTTAAGAATGGGCGGTTAGTCTTTAAATGGAATTGTGGAATTATTTTATAGGGTTGACATGGTTTCGGGCGCAGGAGGAACTTCAGATAGGGTATTTGGGACAGGATCATGGGGCGGCTAGGTGGTTTCTGAGGACCCCAGGCACCTAACTCTGATACAGCGAGTGTTAGTCGTGAACATTCTATTGTATAGTAAGGTTTTGGTATGTTTGCAGCTGTGTTCCCAATTACAGGGCAGCAATTGGGGGATACTAAGCGGGTGTACAAACTTTTTATGGGTTCACGTTGTGATTGGTTAAGGAGGGCGGTTGTAATGTTACCTGTAAGTCAGGGTGAGGTTGGGGTTGTTGGAGTTGTGACGGAGGGCTAAATGTGTGTTTTTAAAGGGAAGTGTTGCGTTGAGGGTGGTGTGTGAACGCGGGGGCGTTTGGGAAGGATACAGACAGGCTGGGTATGTGGTATCGAGGATGGAGTTGGGAAAGTGAAATAGTTTTGAGGGCTGTGATGTGGGTTAGGGAACTGAGAAAGGTTCGTATAAGGGTTTTGTGTAGGTTATTGTAGGGTAGGTGCGTTTGTCCCGTTGTGGGGTTTGTTCCCATGTATGCGTGGAAGAGTATTGGTTTAGATTTACGTAAATTGAAGTTAAAAACTCGGGCCGCTGAGGTGATGTTTCGTTTTCAGCATGGGGATCCTTCCGTCTGGTTGAGATATTACGAAACGACAGGTTGTTAGAGGGTGGGGGGGTGTGGTATCTGTGGAGGGGATGAGACTGCGTTCCATGTAGTTTAATTTGTGAAGGGGCTGAGGAGGTCAGGTGCTGGTTAAGTAGGTTGGTTTCCAGAGGGTGGGGGACCGTGGTGGCGTGGTCAGTTTTGCGTGGCTCTAAGTTCTAGATATGGGTGGGTTAGATGGGGTGTTCATAAGAGCTTTAGATTATTCATGGTAGATTATATATATATGTCGTGCGGGTGATGAGGGGAGAGGGGGATATAGTGAGGAGAGAAAGAAAGGTTTCTTGCGGTAACGTTCTACCGTACGAGGCTGTTTAACAGAGATTTGTATGGGAGGAGGTGGGATTAGGCTTTCTCAGAGGGGTATAGAATGCTAACGTTTAGGGATTCTCATAAAATCTGTGATTGGAAAATGAGTGAGTGAAGGGGGTTTTTCATAGGTTGGAGGGAGTCAGGGGGCACAGCGGGCTCTCGCCTCTGGCGGGGGGGTCGTGTGCGAGTGTTGTGAATGTGGGTTTGGAATGGTTTCCTGGTTTCATTGGGACTTTATGGCATCCAAGTGGGATGTAGAGAATCAAGGTCTCGTTATGGTTGATATAACACTTTTCAGGACTGTAGGTATAATATAGTAATTTTTATATGTTTAATTATGATTGTGTATCAGTTCTTCGTAATAACATGATTCTTTGGAAATAAGTTCTTTGTGAATGAAGTGGGTTTTAGTTTGTATTTATGTTACGTGCTGGGTTTTTGCACGATGAGATATACTTAGTATGTTTGGCAATTGTGCTACAGTGCATCTGATTTAATGTGATTTTGTTTGCAAATTTTTGTGTATGTGTGGGTGTGTGTGTGGATTGTGGGTGTGGGTGTGTATGTGTATATATCTAAATATCCCTTTATATTTGTATTGAGCTTTGTCATGGGTCAGGGGAGGCGTTACTGTAATTATTTATATATGCATGATTGAGTCTTTTTAAAGTTTATAATTTAAGGTCTTACCTGATTACGGTGTGGTGTTTCATGAAAGTTCGTGATGTTAAGTTTTAGTCTGTATGGTATACAGACATATCTAGTCAGTTAGTGACGTAGGTCCAGTTGTGTCTGAAATTTGTATATGGGTTTAGCTGTACAACAGTATAGAGCTTCAGTTTTGTGCTTCTAAGCTGTATTCTTTGTATGTTTAGTTGTTATGTTGGATATGTTCGGCTGTATTGTTGGGATAAGTATGTAGATTTTAGTTAGGATTATGATGTTAGGTTTTGGTTTTGAGATTAATGTGGAAGGATGGGATTTAAATGATATAACTTCTTTGTATATTTTATTTCAAGTGTATTGAACTTTGTCAGATGTCTTTTGTTTGTAATACAATTTATATTTATGCAAGGTTTTTGTATGTCAATTCATGAACCTGTTTGTGACATTGTAATTTGTTTTTAGTTATGTTCGTGATGTAAGTTGTTGTTGTAACTTTTGCGGAGCATGTAGGTTACAATCAGTTTGTCAGTTAATTTGATTAGGTTCCATACTGTTTCTTTATTTTTCTGTTAAACTGTATTGGTTTTAAAATAAAATATAAAAATAAATCATCATTCAACCACTTTATCACTCTACCATAAATTCATGGCTGCGAGGTGCTCGATACAAACAGTTTAGAAGTCCCTCAAAACTGTCGATATCCCTAACCTCTCCTAAAATGTAGACAGTAAAATACTTGGTAATTCTCATAATCCCTTGGAAGCAGTTGTTGTGGGACTAGTTCACTAATCCCCACCAGAGGGCAGGCCTCAAATTAGACATACCCTGGGCCATGCTCTTTCTCTCTTGACAACTGGCGACCCTACCTGTGACAGCTTCCCTCCTGGACTGGCTTTGGCTTAAAGTGCAGGCATTGTACTTCCCACTTCAGGTTTGAATCCAGCTAATCAGTTTTCTGATTCCTCACGAAATATTGCCCTGCTCACATATCACAGATTGTCAGGCCCAAAAAACCATTTGCCTCACTCACTCTAGCAAACATGCTCGTATATTTTTTTATTTAACACACTGTGTTTCTTACTGAGGAGGGTAACCCAAAAAAAAAGAAAACTTTCGCCTCATGCACTATCACTCTTCTTGCAGAGGCACACAGATTACGACCAGTTTAGATACCACTCTAAACAATAAATTCCCAAATCCACCTGTAGTGTGCAAGCAATTTATTTAAAGAACTTAAAATTCAAGTATATTTTTATGCCACAATCAAAATATTATTTGTTTTCTTTTTTTTTGTTCCTTCAATATTTATTTTTATTTTATTATTCTGATAGGCTGATTATATTTAAGTTTGAACTTGCTAGCACCAGAGGGTGTAGCCAAAGTAACAGCTGACGGCACTGTCTCCAGAAGAAATTTAAAGTGATATTAACTCAGGTGAAGGACAAGATGTGGAAGTTTATGGGCAAAAGAGCAGACACCAACCTTGGCCCCATTCATCCCACAGTTAACAGCACGCAGGAAATATCAGTCAGAATTAACAGACTGCTTCCTAACACTAAATATGAGGTCCTACACTTCTTTTTATTTTCCATTGAGTAATCCATTATTTGTTCTTAATGAAAGTTTAGTACAGTTTTCTGTACTCAGTCTTAAGATTATGAAAAAAATAGGAAATAGTAAGAATTTATTATGAGTGTAGCAGTAAAGTTTTATGATTAAAACTCTCAATGCACATGTCTTTTAATATTTATTAGTTTAAGTATTTTATTACAGTATATTCAATTTAGAAATAAAACTATGAAAATTAAGGGTATTAGAATCTTCTTTAAAACTATTTCTTGAATGTATTTTTGCTTTATATACCTATGGCACTATATCTGAATTAAAATTTAATATTTTAATACAGTATAAACTAGAAGTGTTTATATACTTAAAATTCATCCATTGCATTGTGTATTCTTGCAACTTAGGTCTGGGTAAGAGTCTATTCCCAAGATAGACTTGTGCATACAAACAGTCCACGAGTGACTGTCATCACCCTTCCTGAACTACCACACATCAGATTGAAAAATGCAACCGCACGCACACTTTTCATTAACTGGAAGGCACCATCAGACAGATCTGTTTTGCGACATGCTGTAAGCACATTGCCAATTACTAAATTTTTGAAGTATGATGATAAACCTTTCAGCTTATTTTATTAACTGGATTTCAGCTTCATTCTGTAATGTACATTTCTTTCAGTGATAGAATAAAATGCTTCAGAGAGAAGTTTATTTTGTGGAGCACTTAAGTCTCATTTTTATTTAAATATAAAATTAATACCCCTGAATTCACTTCTATGAGCACGCATACATTGTCTTTGGCGTGTCCTTTTTAGATAATGGGGCAGTACACTATATATCTTTTGACCATTCTTCTGTATATATTGTCACTTTAACATACGTAGCTAGCAATGTAACTTTTTAATTTTATTCAATCACTCATCACTGACTTTCTGTCATCATCACGTTATGAGTGCTAACTCAAGTTATTTCACATACATTACACTTAATAAATACTAATCATTCTCATTAGTTTTATATCAGTTTCAGTATACAGCCTTTGGTGACAGTATCTGGGAAAATCTCACCATGGAGCAAACAACTGCTGGACAAACCTATTTTGCCAACATCATTCATCTGGCACCTGCCACCTCATACATATTTAGAGTTCAGGTATATACAATAATACTTACTACAGTTATACTGGCCTGAACAACCTCTCTTTAATTTTTCCACATTGGGTGAGTTCTTTCATTGGCACTATATTTTTGTTTACTTTTGTGAATATAATAACAATTGCTCCATATATACATATTTATTGCAGAAATTCATTTTGATTTTGATAAAATTTAATCAGTTCATGCACACTTATGAAAGTTTGTTGTCTGATGAATGTTTCAAATTAATAAGATTTTTCAAAGTTAAAAATTAGTTAACCAGAAGTAAGTTAACAATAAGTATTTGGTGTGTAGCTGAGATTCCAGGTGAACCAGGACAAGTGATGCGGCAGCAGGTGGGCAGGGTCTTGCCTGGCGTGGCTTGAGGCTCTGGTGGAGTGAGGCAAAACCAAATGGTGCTCCAGTTATTGCATATACCCTGCAAGCTTCCCTCTATAATTCCAATGACTTTGACAACAATATTACCTATGCTACCATATATAATGGATCGGGTAAAGTGCACGAGTTATTTTTGTATAAATTTTCTATAATCCTACTGTATTAGAATTTGGCATTTTAAGTAGATGATCTTACATGTGTATTAATTTATGTTACTGCTCTGTGGAGTTGTATATTAATTTATAAAATCCATAGGACAGTAATTAATAGATACTAATTTTTTACAGATAATTATTGGCTTATCAAAGGATTAGAAGCAGAATCCAGTTACATCTTTCGAGTCCGTGCCATAAATGAACTTGGAGCTGGCCCTTGGGAGAAGTCAATGTGATTGACACAGTAGTTGGGGCAACCATGCTGACACAGACTGATCTCCCTACAATTCTTTCATCAACTATACCAACATCTCTGATTTTTTTTGGAGTGTTTTTTACAAGTCTTATATATGGTAAATACAGTATTAGTGTACTGTTATTAATTTTTTTTTCACAACAGTTGCTCCCACCAAGGTACGGTGACTGTCAGTCATTCAGAGACTGTCTTACCAGAAGCATGCTTATGTCACAATTCAGATTACCCTCCAAATGAAGCATCCCCACCCCTTCTGAGTGCAGACACTGCCTCTCCCACCTCCAGGACTCAAGTCCAACTAACCAGTTTCTCTGAATCCCTTCATCAGAGTTACCTTGCTCACACTCCAACAGCACATCTATGAAAAACCACTTGTCTCTATTCACTTCCGTTTAAAATGCTCTCACAAGTCTGCTGAATGCTGAAGCCCCTAAAGCTCATAGCCTGTCATACCCCCTCCCTCCCCCAGATTTATTAACCTCTTAGTCAACCTATCCCTCTCCAACCTCTACATGACCAAACCACTTCACCAACCCCTCCTCAGCCTAGTAAAGTTTTTAAGTGATGCTCAATTTTTCAACTTTGTATAGTAGTACAGTGGACCCTCAGTTAATGCCTTTAATCCATTCCAGAGAGCTAGGCTTTAATCGATTTAGCCTTTAACCGAATTAATTTTCCCCATAAGAAAAAATGGAAATCCAATAATCCGTTCCAGACACCCAAAAGTATTAAACAAAATAATTATTTTACATGAAATATACATTTCCCTACACAGAAAACAATGATACATGAAGAATAAAACAATAATAATGTCACACGTACCTTTATTGTGGACTTGTTGATGAGTGATGAAATGGGAGAAGAGCAGAGGATGAAGATGTTCTATTGTTTGGAAGGGGAATCCCTTCCATAAGGACTTCAGGTAATAAGTCCTTTTCTGGCTTGTGTCCTGGGAGTATCTTTTCCTCTTGAGTAATGTAGGTCCTGTTTGGCATTTTCTTCCTAAACAATCCTTTTTCGTCACAATTGAACACTTGGGGTTTTAATTTTTCAGCCTCTCTGTACCCCTTAAAGTCCTGCACATATTTTTCAGCCGCTTTTTTGTCAGAACTGGCAGCCTCTCCATGCCTTATCAAACCATACCACCATCACAACCACTACCACCCTCTACCACCATCACAATTGCTACCATCCTCTACCATCATCACTGCAACCCTCTACCATCATCACTACCACCCTCTACCACCATCACAATCGCTACCAAACTCTACCACCATCACAGTTGCTACCACCCTCTACCACCACCACTACCACCATCATAACCACTACCACCCTCTTCCACCACCCCTTTCGTATTTTTCTACAAACTTTTTCTTAAATTATGTGTGTTTCTCACATTCTTAACCATAGGGCTGGCACTAGAAGCTGTCTTGGGGCCCTTGGTAAGATAAGATAAGATTTCGTTCGGATTTTTAAACACCAGGAAGGTTAGCACCAGGATACCCAATGGGGAAAATCAGTGCGTCATCGGACTGTCTAACTATGTCACATTGGGGTCCTAACTGTGCCGCCCGTAATGGCGCGTCCACACGTTCGACTAACACCAGCTCCTAATCATTTCTAGGTGTACGGCCAATGTTTGTACAAAGGAAGCGTGATCCGAATTTTGCGTACCACTGCGGTGAATTAACCGGGTCCCTCCGTGTGTGAAGCGGAGTTTTTAGCACCATACCATGGCTTATTTTTAGCAGTATCAAGCACCAAAAACATGGAATAATACAAAATGTAACGCATGTATCTGGAATCATAACTTTTACTTGCTTTTGTAAAATAAAGGCACATGATTGGTTGTACACAGAGTGGTGGCACGCCCCGCTAAGGGCGATATAGCCACATGTTCAGGACAAAAGCTTAATCGAGTTTTTAGGCTATCGAGCCAATTTTTTTACACCAAGCGAGGACGTTATCTGATTTTAGGCCGTTATCCAGACTGCAGGTGTTGGTAACTGAGGGTCCGACTGTAGTTATTTGTGCCGACATTTTATGCTCAGTGCTATTTATCACCTTTTTTGGGGAATGTTTTGATAGCTGTAAGTATTAAGTGACTCTATATGGTCAGTGAATTTTAAACATTTAACAAGTCTTTCTAACCATCCTAACTTTTTTTTTTTTTTTTTTTTGCTAAAAATTATGTGCCAAAGGGCTTCTTATATATATGATACCTGGAGTTTACCTGGAGAGAGTTCCGGGGGTCAACGCCCCCGCGGCCCGGTCTGTGACCAGGCCTCCTGGTGGATCAGAGCCTGATCAACCAGGCTGTTGCTGCTGGCTGCACGCAAACCAACGTACGAGCCACAGCCCGGCTGATCCGGAACTGACTTTAGGTGCTTGTCCAGTGCCAGCTTGAAGACTGCCAGGGGTCTGTTGGTAATCCCCCTTATGTGTGCTGGGAGGCAGTTGAACAGTCTCGGGCCCCTGACACTTATTGTATGGTCTCTTAACGTGCTAGTGACACCCCTGCTTTTCATTGGGGGGATGGTGCATCGTCTGCCAAGTCTTTTGCTTTTGTAGTGAGTGATTTTCGTGTGCAAGTTCGGTACTAGTCCCTCTAGGATTTTCCAGGTGTATATAATCATGTATCACTCCCTCCTGCGTTCCAGGGAATACAGGTTTAGGAACCTCAAGCGCTCCCAATAATTGAGGTGTTTTATCTCCGTTATGCGCGCCGTGAAAGTTCTCTGTACATTTTCTAGGTCGGCAATTTCACCTGCCTTGAAAGGTGCTGTTAGTGTGCAGCAATATTTCCAGCCTAGATAGAACAAGTGACCTGAAGAGTGTCATCATGGGCTTGGCCTCCCTAGTTTTGAAGGTTCTCATTATCCATCCTGTCATTTTTCGAGCAGATGCGATTGATACAATGTTATGGTCCTTGAAGGTGAGATCCTCCGACATGATCACCCCCAGGTCTTTGACGTTGGTGTTTCGCTCTATTTTGTGGCCAGAATTTGTTTTGTACTCTGATGAAGATTTAATTTCCTCATGTTTACCATATCTGAGTAATTGAAATTTCTCATCGTTGAACTTCATATTGTTTTCTGCAGCCCACTGAAAGATTTGGTTGATGTCTGCCTGGAGCTTTGCAGTGTCTGCAATGGAAGACACTGTCATGCAGATTCGGGTGTCATCTGCAAAGGAAGACACGGTGCTGTGGCTGACATCCTTGTCTATGTCGGATATAAGGATGAGGAACAAGATGGGAGCGAGTACTGTGCCTTGTTTGGGAAAAGAGCTTTTCACCGTAGCTGCCTCGGACTTTACTCTGTTGACGACTACTCTCTGTGTTCTGTTAGTGAGGAAATTATAATCCATCGACCGACTTTTCCTGTTATTCCTTTAGCACGCATTTTGTGCGCTATTACACCATGGTCACACTTGTCGAAGGCTTTTGCAAAGTCTGTATATATTACATCTGCATTCTTTTTGTCTTCTAGTGCATTTAGGACCTTGTCGTAGTGGTCCAATAGTTGAGACAGACAGGAGCGACCTGTTCTAAACCCATGTTGCCCTGGGTTGTGTAACTGATGGGTTTCAGATGCGTGGTGATCTTGCTTCTTAGGACCCTTTCAAAGATTTTTATGATATGGGATGTTAGTGCTATTGGTCTGTAGTTCTTTGCTGTTGCTTTACTGCCCCCTTTGTGGAGTGGGGCTATGTCTGTTGTTTTTAGCAACTGTGGGACGACCCCCGTGTCCATGCTCCCTCTCCATAGGATGGAAAAGGCTCGTGATAGGGGCTTCTTGCAGTTCTTGATGAACACAGAGTTCCAGTGTCTGGCCCTGGGCAGAGTGCATGGGCATGTCATTTATCGCCTGTTCGAAGTCATTTGGCGTCAGGATAACATCGGATAGGCTTGTGTTAATCAAATTTTGTGGCTCTCTCATAAAAATTCATTTTGATCTTCGACTCTCAGTCTGGTTAGCGGCTTGCTAAAAACTGAGTCATATTGGGACTTGAGTAGCTCACTCATTTCCTTGCTGTCATCTGTGTAGGACCCATCTTGTTTAAGTAGGGGCCCAATACTGGACGTTGTTCTCGATTTTGATTTGGCATAGGAGAAGAAATACTTTGGGTTTCTTTCGATTTCATTTATGGCTTTTAGTTCTTCCCGCGATTCCTGACTCCTAAGGATACTTTAGCTTAAGTTCGATGCTTGCTATTTCTCTTGACCAGTGTCTCCCTACGCATTTCAGATATATTGACCTCTTTTAGCCGCTCTGTTATTCTTTTCCGTCGCCTGTAAAGGGAGCGCCTGTCTCTTTCTACTCCTCCTTTTTCTTAGAGGAATAAGCCTTGTGCATACATCGAGTGCCACCGAGTTAATCTGTTCTAGGCATAAGTTGGGGTCTGTGTTGCTTAGTATATCTTCCCAGCTTATATCGGTTAGGACTTGGTTTACTTGGTCCCACTTTATGTTTTTGTTATTGAAGTTGAATTTGGTGAATGCTCCCTCGTGACTAATCTCATTATGTCGGTCTGGGGCTCCGCGCATACATGACTGAACCTCAATTATGTTGTGATCTGAGTATATTGTTTTGATATGGTGATATTTCTTATCAGATCATCATTGTTAGTGAAGATGAGGTCTAGTGTATTCTCCAGTCTAGTAGGCTCTATTATTTGCTGGTTTAAATTGAATTTTGTGCAGAGATTTAAAAGCTCACGTGAGTGTGAGTTTTCATCAGAGCTGCTCCTGGTGTTATTACTGCAACAATATTATTTGCTTATATTCCTCCATTTTAGGTGCCTTAAGTTGAAATCCCCCAGGAGCAAGATGTTGGGTGCAGGAGCTGGAAGGTTTTCCAGACAGTGGTCAATTTTTAACAGCTGTTCCTGGAATTGCTGGGATGTTGCATCCGGAGGCTTGTAGGACTATCACAATGACTAGGTTTTGGTTCTCGACCTTTACTGCTAAAACTTCCACTACATCATTTGAGGCATTTAGCAGTTCTGTGCAAACAAGTGACTCTGCAATGTACAGGCCAACCCCCCCCCCCCTTTTGCCTGTTCACTCTGTCACATCTGTATAGGTTGTAACCTGGGATCCATATTTCGTTGTCCAAGTGATCCTTTATGTGGGTCTCAGTGAAAGCCGCGAACATTGCCTTTGCCTCTGCAAGCAGTCCACGGATGAAAGGTATTTTGTTGTTTGTTGCTGGCTTTGGACCCTGTATATTTGAAAAGAAGAATGTTATCGGACTGGTGGTATTGTTGGTACTGGGGGGGGGATTTTTTTTCCGGAATTAGTATCTGTATCTGTTGGTTTGGAGTGGAGGCCATCGACTGTGGTTCCACTCCAGGAATGACTGGATTTGGTGTACGATTTCTGCCATTTCCTGCCCAGTTTTTTTTTCCTTCCTGGCTCTAAAATACCTAAAATGAGTTATATTGCTTCATATTAATTTTTATTTTGTAATAAATAATTGTAAGTTTGGAGGTGTTTTGGCAGGTTATGAAATGGATGTACGTACATTATTATACCATTGTTAGGTAAGACACACATGCAACAGTTAGGTATCTTTATTTTAAAACGTTTTGCCTACACAGTAGGCTTCTTCAGTCGAGTACAGAAAAGCTGATAGAAGCACAAGAGACGTGAAGACGATGTAATCAGTCTTCACTTTTCTTGTGCTTCTATTAACTTTTCTATACTCGACTGAAGAAGCCCACTATGTAGGTGAAGCATTTCGAAATAAAGATACCTAACTGTTGCATGTGTGTCTTACCTAACAACCTGTCGGTATTTTCTACCATTTTATTATTCACATTATTATACCATTGTTACTGTTCTAATATTTTAGTGTCTAATTTTCACAGTAGTATTCACTAATGCAAAGAATATAGCTCGAATTCTTGTAGCAGTCACAAGCAGTTTTGTAAATTTAGTTTCTCATTTGAATTTGACGTAAAAATTAATAGCATTCTCGGATCATGTTTTCTTTAGGTATGAAACGAGCAGAGAGGAGGAGTTGGAAAGTTAAAGCAGCTTCTCTGAATGATTCTCACCACCACCACCCACGATCTCATGAAGTAGAATTAGTAACTCTTCGACAGTTTCCAATAAATAATAACTTTGTTACAGAAAATAATGTTCTCTATAACCTTCACACTTTCCCAGGTAGGTGAAAAATAAAAACATATTTTGCTTATTACAGTATTCTATATTTATAATATCTTACATACACAGCTTTTAGCTGCACAATGAATAACAGTACATCTCAGTCTGATAAAAAGGCAACAGTGTTGTACCCCTTGAATCTTCATTAAAAAGATAATTTGATAAATCCTTTTCTTCATCTGTGAGAAGTATTTATTGCTGTCTTATTAAACATCCAGCTGTATATCTACAAAAAAAATAAGCTCAAGTATTTTTTCAAAATGTAATTTCAGGCGATGACCTGGATCTGCCCCATGTGTCACGGCATTGTATCAACCTCACCAAGTTTCTGGGTTGTGGAACGTTTGGTGAAGTATTTGAAGGGACAGCCTGTGGACTGCCATGTTTACCTGAGGTCACAAAGGTGGCAATTAAGGTATGTGTATCTATTAATTCTTATTTTTCATGTATACATGAGTATACATTTTATATGATTGGCAAATATGAGTACAGCCTCTCTTCACTTAGCGACGTACTCTTTTACCGACGGCCCAGACTTACAACAGGCTCTCTGACCTGTATGCATACATAAATAATGTTTATTAGAGCTGATTTCTATTTTGTTTAATGCAATATATAGTACACTACTGTATAAACATTTAAAATATACCAGAAATGTTATAAATGGTGCAAAGGTGACATTAAAACACTATCAAATATGGTTCACAAGCATGCTCCTCATTTAGCGACAAATTTGTTTACCAACATGGTCTTAGGAATGGAACTTTGTTGTTGAGTGAGGAGAGGCTGTATATTTTTTAGCCACTACGTATATTGAAACTGAAAAAATATATGCATTTTCAACATTTTAAGAATTTAATTTTGTATTACTCTGTAAACAATGAGTGCCTTTGATGCTTGTCAGACTCTCCGTAAAGGAGCAACAGAGACAAAAAAAGCTGAGTTCCTGAAGGAGGCTCAGTTGATGAGTCACTTCCAGCATGAACATATCTTGCGTCTTCTGGCTGTATGTACAGACCATGATCCTTTCTTCCTTATCCTTGAACTGATGGAAGGTGGCGATCTTCTGTCCTATCTTCGTACAAGTCGTGGAGTAAGTTTGAAGTTTATTATTATTATTTTATACATAAGTTTGAAATTTATAGAAAATGTTAAGTCATATTCATATTGCAGAGTCAAATGTTTAGTCACATTCATATTGGATGGCGCCTTAGTGTCTGAAGTCTGAGCTGTCTCCCACAGAAGTAGAGTGACTCAACAAAGAAGAAACACTGTCACTATCACTCACTCCACCATTCTCCTGCCAGAGGCATATTGATATTACAGCTCATATTTCCCTCCAAACTGCAGACACAGTGTATGTAACAATGAGCATTATTGTATCCACCTTTTAAATCAATTCTATTCATTTTTTAGGTTGAGTGTAGCTTGACATTAGCAGACTTTGTGGCCATGTGTCTGGATGTGGCTAAAGGCTGTGTGTATTTGGAAGAAATGCACTATATCCACCGTGACTTGGCTGCAAGGAATTGTCTTGTCTCAACAACTGACCCTGAATCTCGTATAGTAAAAATTGGTGATTTTGGGCTAGCCAGAGATATATACAAAAATGATTACTATAGAGAAGAGGTACTGTATATCTATAGATCATTTTATTTATAACTTAATGCCATATTTATAAGAGTAGGCTTGTGAAATTCACGAGTGAAAAAACTTTAAATTTATTAAAATACCCCTAAAATTAATGAAGCTTTTTATTTTTTATATAATAAGTTATTGTCATCTGTACAGTACTGAAAAAAAACATAACATTGTCTTTACTTTTGATGAGTTCTGTGAGTTTTTTATCCCAGAACCCAGCCTTAGGCTAGGCTTGTCTGGTCAACCAGGCATCTCTTATTTAGCAAAATCTTTTTTGTATAGGGAGAGGGGCTGTTACCATTGAGGTGGCTGTCTCCAGAATCTCTGGTTGATGGAGTGTTCACAAGTCACTCTGATGTTTGGGCATTTGGAGTGCTGTTGTGGGAGATCTTGACTCTTGGACTGCAGCCATACCCTGCACGCACCAACCTTGAAGTGCTACATTATGTCAAGGGCGGAGGTCGCCTTAATCGTCCTCCCAATTGCCCAGAGGAACTGTAAGTTTTTCAATACTCCAAAATATATATTATAGTTTAATTGCAAATGATTTATTAACATGATACATGTTAATAAATAATTTTTTGTGAATCATTCATTAATATAATGTACTGTATTTTGAAAACAATACATTTAATATAAATGTCTGGGATGTATTTGGATTGTATAAAATCTTGTTAAAATATTTTTCATAGGTATTTTTTGTAAAGATCTATTATCTATTGCATTTCTTGCCTTAAATGTTATTGGACATTGTATTTTCTCCAAACTAATTTAAAAGTTATCACATTGTCTTGTTAGGACAATGCTAACCTTATTTATGAACTTAAACAAATGTTCTCAGGTAAAGTTTTATGTAAGTGTCAGCATGATATTAAGACACATGTCGGTATTATATACCATTTTTACACATGCTCAAGTTGCAAGATAAAATAAAAATGCAGCAGATAAGTAGATAGAAGCTTCAACTTTTCTTTTTAGCCATAAACTGATGGAGCGATGTTGGAGCTACAGTCCTGAGAACCGACCAACTTTTAAAGAATGTCTTAGAGCACTATTGATGTTGGAGGAAACTATCTCAGCTTTGCCAGTTCTTGCAGTTCACAATGTTCACTATATTGGTTCAAATGGTAAGTAGACCATTCATATCTTCCATTCTTTGTGATTTATAAATTAATCTGTTTCTGATGAATTTGCTGCAGATCTTATTTTAATTGAGAGAACTGTAAAATGTCTTAGATGGTTGACCTGATTAACATGTTTCTTGTTCATTGTCTGGTAAAGAATTAATGCGTTGTGTGATTTGCTGTAAATTTTCATTACTAATTATGCCTGATTTTGGACAGCATACGTAAATTGCAAAATATATGATGTCCTTGTATAATATGTGGAATATGTGTCGTGCTTTTTTCTTACTCCTGCAGTTGAAATACTGTATGTAAAATTGAGAGTTGTTCCATCTTTTGAATGATATACCCTTCAGCTTTTATAGTGCCATAACTTGCTTGTTCTCTTGATATTTGCATCTTGATAACAGTTTTTTATGTCTTGATTGCCACCAGATTCCTAATTTTTTACTACCACATAAAGGAATTCAAATGAAATGACTACTGATTTATGCTGATAAGTATTAAATTACTGGGTAAAAAATGAGGAATGTAAAGGTATTGGATAGAATGCCAAAGTTTGTGCTGTCATATATGCTTATGTTTGCTGTTTTAGGTGAATGCAGCCTTGATAACCTGGCTTATGCTGAAGATCGTGATGAGAATTACAACACTAACTCAGGTGGTGAATTTTGTTTTCATTTAGGCAGCTAATTCTTTGACAGTAAAGTAGAATAAGTTCACAATTTTGCCATTATATTCCAAAGCTCATCTATTTGATTACCACTTTATTGTTCACCACAACTTATATTAGTCCCTTTTATATTATAATTTTATACTATAATTCTAACTTTAAAGAATTACCTTTATAGTACTACCTACTATCATATTCCCAAGCTCCATTATTTGATCATCACTTTATTTGTATTAGTCCCTTTTATATTGTCTCCTTTATTTTAGCTTAAAAAAAAAAAAAAAAAAAAAACTACCTTAGCTCATTATTTTACATTTGTTAAATAATTTAGGTGCTATTTTTTAGCTTAAGACTATTTACTTTGTTTTATACTTAATTCTAACTATAGATTCACTACAAATCTTATGATTACAAGCATTGATCCTGATACCAACCTCTTATTTAATGACTTAAATGAATCAAACAGTTACTGTAATTACTACACTGCAGAACAATCAAAGGCACTTCTCAGTGCCAACAACAACATAACTATCTTTAACTACAATATCAGATCTTTAAGCAAGCATTACGATGACCTCATAGCATTACTAAATTCCTTACATGCCAATATGTCCATCATTACACTAACTGAAACCTGGCTAAAGCCTGATAGTACAGATGTCTATGCCATTCCTCCTCTTCAAGGGGGGCTCCTTGGCGTGGTGAAGAGGCTCTTGGTCTGAGGAATTAGCCCTGTCGGTCTTCTTCCTCAGACCGAACCTAATTACCCCCCATTCTCCCCTCCCCTATCCCATCCTCCCCATCCTCCCCTTTTTCCATTCCTCCTCCTCCTCCTCACCCCTCCCTTTTGCCCTTCCTCTTTTTAGCCTTCGTGATTTCTCCCACAGGCGCGCTAGTTCCTAGGTAGGGGAAAGGACACCGGGGTCCATCCCATTCCGTTGAGGTTTCTTGGCGGTGGCGTAGTTTGCCGTAGAATCTGGATTGCCCAGGATTCCCGATCCCTCTCCGGTAAACCCGAGTAGCTTTTGGGGTCTTTTGGCGAGGGGGGGATTGGAAAACCACTTTTGATTCCGGGGGGGGGTGGCTAAGGAGGGGTCTTTTTTGGCGATATCCGGCCGCCTCGTTCTTTTTCTTTCGCAGTTGAAACTGTAGAATTTTAATGCCCCTTCTTTAAAAATCAAAAAAATCCCTTTCCCTTTCCATTCATTTTACCTTGTCTTGCCCCAGTTTTTTACTCCCATTAAAATTCAGATTTCCCTTTCTTAATTTACTTTTAGAATTTTTTTATATTGCATGGGTTCCCTTTTTGCGTCTTAGCTTTGTTTCCTTTTTGGGCCCCCCTTTACTGGTTATGCTAAGACCCATTAATTACCCTAACCCCCAATTAATTTGTTTCTTTTGGCACCTAATTTCCCGAAAAATTGAAAATTTAAAATTTTTCAAAAACCAAGGATCATCTATTGTCCCTTTTTTTCCCCCCATTTTTTTCCCCCTTTTTATAATTTTTCTTTCTAATTTTTAAAATTCCTTATTTTACTTATTATCCCAAGCTCCTTAGAACCCTTTATTTGATTTAAGTCCTTTTATTTTTATCCTTTTTCAAAGTTAAAAAAAAAAAAAATGGTTTATTTACTTTGTTTTTTGGTGTATTTTTTAGCTTAAGACTTTTTACTTTGTTTTTACTTAATTACTATGATTATAAATTTTTTGATTCAACTTTTCCTGATACCTTTATAAATGCTTTTTGAATAACCTCCCGTTTTTTAAATAACTGCTAAAAATTCAAAGGCACCTATCCAACAAAAAACTTCTTCTATATCTCTTTAGCGCATTATACCCCCGATTTTTTCCTTTTTGCCATAGCCCTCTTCCCTAATGAATGGCAAACCTATCTGGGAGGTCAGGGTTTTCCCCGTGAACAGTAAAATTGCCCCCCCCCCCAAAAATGTTTAAAGCATATACTACCACCACAAAATGGATCATATCTTGCATCGGGAAAAATTTGGGTTTTGCCAATTAATCAAATTTCCCCCTTTACATAAAAAAACATTCAATTTCAAAACCATTGCCTTTATAAACCGAAAACCTGGCAAATGGCAAAATACTTTACTCCATGACTTTTTTAAATTCCTGCGCCAGGACCCCCCTTTTTCCCCGGGTCCCGAGTTGTCCAATACAAACCACAAATTCGGGCGGGTTTCCCATGCCCTTGGCCAAATTTCCCCTTTAAATCGGAAATTTTTAAAAATTCAAAGACCACCCCCCACTTTTTAAAAAATTTTTTAAAACCCCCCACTAAACACCTTCGGATTTAAAATTCCCCCTTTAATCTTCCCAGAGTGAAAAATTTTGGAAAGTAGAAACTTAAATTTCAAAAAAATTTTTTTTTTCCCCCTTTAAAACAACACTGTAAAAAAAAAAAAATGCGAAAAAGGGGAACCCCTCAAACCCCACTTCTCAAATCCTAAAAAAACACCTTTGGCCTCAGGGGCAATAGGAACCCAAAATTTTGAAACCTCCACCCTGATAAAAGGGAAAAAATTTTATTTAGGGAAACAATTTACAGGTAAAAAAAAAAAGCCAAAAACCCTTTTTTAAAAATTTGGGAAAAAAAATTCCACGAAATCGAAATTTTTCCCTCAAAACCCCTCCCCCCAAAAACCAAACAACTAAATGTTTCCCCCTTTTTGGAAAAATTCCCAATAAAACCCCAAGTAAAACCCCCACAAGCTCCCACCCAATCCGAAAAACGTTCCTACCCATAACCCTACGGGGTTCCAAATTTCAAGATTTAAAAAAAAAAGTTTGCAAAAGGGGGAAATTTTATTCCCCCCTTTGGAGGAAAAAAAACCCAATTTTTGCTGAGGAATTCTTTTCTTTTTTTTTAAAAACCGCAAGATAACGGGGATTTTTTCCCTCCCCTTTGGGTCCATTAAGCCCCCAGATTTTAAATTCCTGGTTTTTTTCCTTTTTCAAAATATTTTTTTTTTTTTTTTCCTATTGCCGGGGGAAGGAAAAAGAATTTTCCTCCTAAAATGAGGCATAAAATTCCAAAAAATGGGTTAATTTCCCCCAAAAATTTAAAAAAAAAAAAACTTTAAAAAAACTTTGTTTTGGGGGGTTTTTGTGGGGTGACAAAAAACAGTATTTGGTTTTTAAAAAATTGGGTTTGGGCCTTTTGGGGGAAAACAAAGCGGAAAAAAGGGGTTTCGTGGGGGGGGGAAAAAAAAAATTTAAAAACCCAACTAAAAAGGAAAAAAGGGGTCAGTTTTTTTTTCGTTATGGGGGGAAAAAAATTTAAAGTGTTTTCGGTTTTTTTTTTGAAAAGGGTTTTGCAAAAGGGGGAAAAGGGGTTTTCCCCGGAGGGAAAATGCGGGAAGAGAGGTTTTTGGGATTTTTTTAATGGGCCTTTTGAAAGTAAAATTTTGGGGTGGGCTGTTGGGTTTTTTTGGGGGGTTTTTTTTAAATTTTCCAAAAAAAGGGGGAAACCCTTTTTTTGAAGAAAGGGGTTTTTGTTTTAATTTTTTAAAGAAAAAAAAAAAATTTCCCTTTTGGGAATTTACCCATTTTTTTGGGTTTGTATTGGAGTTAAAAGCTTTTGGTGGGTTCAGCATTTTGGGGACAGTTTAAGAAAATTTTTTTTATAACTGGGGAAAAATTTTTAAAAGGAAATAAAAGCTCAGGGGGAATGGGTTTAACTAAAAAGGCTTTAAAGGGGTATAAAAATTTTTTTGGGAAAAATCAATGGGGCTGGGCAATGGGGTAAGGGTTTTTTGGGGGGGGAAAAAAAAAATTTTTGGGGTTTTCCGAATTTTGTGGGTTACAGGAAAGGGGGGGGGGGGGGGAAACGTTTAAAATTATGTAAAAAATATGGGGAAAAAAACTTAATTTTTAAAAAATTTGGTTCAGGGGGAAAAAATTTGGAAAAAAGGGGGGTTTTAGGGTTAAAAATGTAAAAAAGGGAAATAATTTTGGGTTTTTAAAAATTTTTTAAAAAAAAAAAAAAATTTTGGGGTTTTGGAAACCAAAGTTAAGAAACCCAAAAAAAGGGGGTTTTTTCATTAAAAAAGGAGAGGAGATTATTTTGGGGGTTGGGTTTGGGGGTTATTTTTTTTTGGGGAAAAAGGGGAAACTTATTTCTTTGGGGCAAGGGGGAAATAACTCAAAATGAAGACCTTGTAGGGGGGGAAGTGGGGCGGGTTTTGGGGGGAACCCCCCTTTGGGGGAAAAAATTTTTTTTTTAAAAGGCAGGGGGGAATAGGGGGTGGTTGGGTTTCTTTTTAAAATAAATTAAAAGGGGGTAAAAAAAAGGGGAAGGGGGCAAGTTCCTTTTAAAAAAGGGAAAAGGGGTAAAAAGAGGAAAAAATGGGGAATTTAATTACCTTAAAAATTAAAAATAATTGAAAAATTAAGGTAAAAAAATGGGAAAACAAAGGAAAAAAAAAAGGGATTTACGCTCTGTTTTTTATATCTCTCCCCTTTTCGGGCATTATTTTTCCCGGGATTTTGCCTTCCTTGTTTGTCATTACCCCCCACCGTTTCTGTTACTTGGTGTTTTAAATGCCCACCATTTCCTTGGGGAGGGTTCACTGTGTTTCCCCGGGGAAATTCATTTAGGGTTTTTCCCACCCACCCCCCCATTTTTTAAATAAGGTATCAACCCATTTTGACCCTCGGTCTATTTCTCTTGCATCGATCTCTCAGTTTGCTCTTCCTCCCCCGCTTAGATTTTTATTTGGTCTGTTCCCCCGGACTTCATGACAGTGAAATTTCCCAATCATTCTTATTCCCCTTCATATTCGCCACCTCTTCGCACCCCCGTGGCAATTTAATCGGGCAAATTGGGAACCTTTACTACACCTGACTGTTTTTAAAAGGTTCCTTTTTGTCCTCATGATGAGTTTTACACCTCTTTCGCCCTCCGTTTTCACCGCAGCTTTCTTCTTACCCCAAATTTCGGGCGGGATTCTCGAAATGCGTGCCTTGGG